CCACATAGTATGGGTTTTGCTCATTGTTGAAGCTCGTACGATGAGCTGTAAATGTTCACATAACTTGGTTCACATCTTTGTCATTGGGTCTTGATGAATGACTATCTCATCACACCACATCTCTTTATTTATATTATGATTGTATTGTGTAATAGTTGCTACGAAAAACGAAATGGTGTGACAAAAAGCATGTTATGTTGAGTTTGGCTACATTGTAAACTAAAGCACTAAAATAACCATCATTTATCCAGCCAATCAAAACGTAGTTTGTAGCTTTGTACGGAGGGAACCCTGTCAGACAATTGAATTTGTTGATAAATATACCCTTAAGTAATATTGTCTTATTTTACGTTAAAATTACCGGGTAGAGGACCGGTATAATATTTCAAACATGATATTCACCGCATTATGTGAGATCAGATACCACTCAATTTATTTATAAAATTAACTACCTTGACAAATATAGGTTGTAATTTTCAATTCGTCCAGTGAAATAGATCACTGTCATTTGGCTGGTTTCGATGTTTTAGAAGCGAGGAAATTGTCTAATTACTCGGCAATCAAAGGTAACAATGAATTCCATTATGTAAATTACAAAGATATTCACCGCCTTACTTGTTAATAAATACTAAAATGGTCCTATCTATAAATTACAACCAATCATCATAAATGACCATTTGATCACTGGTCAGTTTGCTTGCGGTAATGTGGCTTTTTCCGATTAATGGTCAGTTTATAATTAGGCGACGGGTTCGAAACGTCAGCACTTAAATTGGATTGATATAATGACCATTAATGGTCATTTATGGTCATTTAGTTTTGCTTGTTACTGATCCTTCCTTTGCAAATATCCTTCGGCAACTAAAGTTGAACATTTCGGCCAGTCTGTCTGCACTGGACATAACACGCCAACTGGTGCCTTTATCCCTATTTGTTTATTTCCTGCAGGGAGTTGTCACCAAGCATTGTTGTATATTTCACGTTAGGTTAAGAAAATACAATGTCAATTTCATCGGTGATCGAATTCCTAATTTATACAGATTTTGTGATGTTAAAATTAGAAGTTCTATAACACATTTGACTTCTTATGCTTGGTCAAATAACCATGGCAACACATTTAAAACAACTCTGTAGATTTCAGTTTTAGCTATAACGATAAATTTCATAGGCGATAGACTTGCACGTTCACATGTACATGATGTATAATGGAATGTTATCATAAATATTAAAATAGACCATTTGATATTGTTTAATTAGTTTTATCAATGGGTTTGAACTGTTTTGTTTCAATTCTTTGAACTGTTACACATTTATACTTTTCAATGGGTTGGGCTGTTTAGTATATACTTTTTTCAATAGTTTGAACAATAAAAATATACTTTGAGATAAAACTTTTGTTGAGGTAAAATTATCGTTTGATATATCCTTTAAAAGGCCATTAATTAAAAAATAATACAAGATTTTTTTTCACGGCACCAAATTTCTTGTCATTGCAGGACTTGGTGAACCATTTAGAATGGGTGAACTAAGTTGTAGATGTACTTTTTATGTTCATATATGAATAAAAGAGATGTGGTGTTTTCGTCAATTAAACCAATTACACCAATACATTTTCATGTAAATCTGTAAATCACAAATTTTTAGTGAAGACATTATTCATAATTACACTTATTTGATAGAAAAGAGGATGAAAGATACCAGAGGGACAGTCAAACTCATAGATAGAAAACAAACTGACAGCGCCATGGCCAAAAATAAAAAGACAAACAGACAAATAATAGTACAGATGACACAACATAGAAAACACTTATTTGATAGAACCTTTGACACGTAGTATCATTTAAAAATACCATACAAGATCAATTAATGTTCTTTATTTTCAACACACCGCGGCTGAAACAATGAGAAAAAAGGAAATTCTTGTATGAAATTATAACATATAAAAGTTCATACCGAAGGAAAAGGTCTATACATTAAAATGTTATTAAATTTTGTTTAACAAGTTAATATAACTTTACTTCTTAACTTCTAAAAAAAATCATTTGGATAAATTGCATACAGAAATAACACAATAATTAAACGGTTGCGTTTGTATTAAAAAAAAACCAATTAAGCAAGGGGGGACTTTTTCTTTTTGCAACGCCCATGCATTTGTATGATAAATTATAAATGCCGTCACTAAATCCTGCGTTCGTTTATCATTGTTGTCAAAGTACACGTTGTCCTGCAATCTAAGGTATAATTTCATATCCCAGATGAACTACATGTATCAGAGCAAGTAAAATGCATTACAGGACGGCCTGTAACAAGTTCAAATATTCAGAGCATACTTACTTTATCATTTTATAATGTTTCATTATATCCTTGTCCTTTGGTCACTGGAGGATATTTGTCTCGTTGTCAATCATGCCACATCTTTTTTTTTATACTGTAGCTATTCACACCCCTACTTTTGGTCTTTGTTAGATATAGTTGTCCCATTGGCAATCACACCACATCTCCTGATTTCTATATTTTCGACGTGAGAATATACCCATCTACATGGTATTGTTAGTGACGTAAATAGAATTGAAGCCACGACGAACTGACACGTTACAATAATAAAAAGTGCGAAAATGAAATACCTCTACAAATATATTGTAGGGGAGTTTAAAAAAATAAATATAACAAAAACAAATCAAAACAAAACGCAACGTAACTTTATTATTTAAAGGAAGTTACGCATATACTTTATATTAAATCTTGTAGTTTAAAGACAAAAATTGCTAAAACTACAGTAACTATAGTTTGAACTGTTGCCGTATATTGAAAACATCTATTGCGACAACTGCATATATAGTATAGTATGGTGATGATCGAATGATGAATAACATTAGTTCTGGTTTTCCGTAAATTTTAGAGTACCTAACTGATTTGGAAAAAAAGCCATTTAGAAACTTTCGCCAAGTAATCTTTTGAAAGTATTTCTTTCGTCGGTTTAATCCTTAGACCTATATAACCTCTTGTCGACTTTGACCATTTGGCAAAATGACGAGTTTCGCATCATTAGATCACGTAAAATCGACAACACAATTATTTTTCCTCAGCAACCGATGCCAATGTTTTTGTCGGAAATTGATAATGCCCAAAGCTTTCGTAAAAAATCTTTGCTTCTTCCATGCGTGGTTCTTTGGTTTCATATATTGTTTTTCCTTTTCAGCACAGTAAGTTCGACACCTTCGACACACGTGGAGCAGGATATGCTTTCCTTTCCGTAGCCCCTGAGATCACCCCTGGTTTTTATTTCGGTTTGTGCCGCTCAGTCTTTAGTTTTTCTATGTTGTGTTTTGTAGAATGTATATAATTCCTCTTGGTATCTTACGCCTTTTTACTTTCTGTTATTTAGATAGATTAGGATTTGGTTTACATCATTATCCACCTTTTGCAGAATGTTGCTCAATCTTTAGTTTTTTATGTAGCGTTTTGTGAACTATTTTGTCCTTTCGACGTCTTTCGTTTATGTCATGGCGTTGTCTATTTCTCTCCGACATATTAGTTTTAAATGTTTCTTGGTATCTTGTTTGAAATTATTTTACAATGACCTAGCGCAAGATTTAATTTTTTGTATTCTTATCATTGGCTTTCAGATGTTTTGGTCTGAGCGTTTCTGATGAAGGTAATTTAGAAAAGCGCTTCGGACGTACAAAATTAATCAAGAGTTATTTTCATTACACATTTAGCATATACATTTATAGTCACTTAGTTGTGGTTTTAGTCCTGTATGACACAAGGTTACAGTACATATGCTAATCAATATATAATCAGATCAGCATTCGGCCTTCAACAATGATCAAAACAAATACCATATAGTAAGCTATAATAGGCCTCTGCATGAAACAAGGAAAACAATTCAAAAGAAAACCAACAGCCCTGATTTATACTAAAATGATAAAAGAAAAAAAGAAAAAAAAAAACAATTATGGTAATCAGTAACAATTGAAATCCTTTAAATCACAGGGTCTTGACTTTTGAAAGACGCATACATAATGTGGCGGGGTGAAACGTGTTTTTTTGGCGCTCAAGTCTCCTTTTAGAACATTAGAAATATCAATTCTCGTCAGAACTTGTTTTAACCAGTTAGATAAAATACAGAAATCAAAATAAGTAGTACAGAATTGCTGCTCTTTATCTCAAAATACATGCATGTCGCAAGGACAATCGTAATTTTGAAAACCATTTGAAATAAAAGAACAAAAACAAATTGTCGATTAGAGGTAAAGTAAAAGGAGGAAGTAGAATAACTCTATAGATATTGAAGACTACGAAATAAAGAGTGGGAGTTATCGCTCTTTAAAACCGAACGCCATTTTGAAAATTTAGTGCTTAATCTTAACATAATTTTGTACAGTCAGCCAATAGTTTTTTTTATTGAAGTCTTAACCTAAACGAGTTCTAGTATGTTTGCTTTGTAAAGTAACAATATTAAGTTACACTTCGCTTAAAACAATCAACTACTCTGCTTTTTCATGATATAATGCCGCCATTAAGAAATATATACACATCCATTGTTTTAGCTTTGATATATGCATATCGATAACAATAAAATATAAATAGATACAATTAAATTTATTAATATTTCCCATTTGTTTTGTGACATGCATTTTTTCTATAAATGGTCCTTGGACCAACTCTAACAAGTTGTTTACAGCAATATCGGGTTACTTTCTTATCAGAATTCAGTAACCTTAGTATTGTTTTATAACAATGTACCACAAAACCCTTTGGAAACGACCGAAATTCTGACCAATCAAAGCAGGACGATAAAAATCAAGTATGTGATTATGGTTATGTTGTGTCATTGGACAACAAGGGTTACTATGGTTAATTTTCAAAATTTCGATATATTTTGGATTTTGGAATTTCTTATATCACAAAGATAAAATTTTCCATTTCAAATTATGGTTATTTAATAATTCAATTCTAAAATGACTCTCTTATGAGTTTTTAATATCCTTACCACCCAAGGAGCACCTCAACAATAGCGCTCCTATTTTATTGCGTAAATTGTATAACCTTGGTTCAAAACCATCAATCAGTCGCAATAATGATTACATGCAATACTTTGTCACCGTTCATTTTTATAGAATATTTTCAAAACGCCCACTTATCTACCTAATAGCGTGCTCTTTGATCTTTGAAAACTCAAAACATCGAAAAAAATGACAATAAACGGTGAAACGATTTGTAGCCGTTCTGCATTGCGAAACTATTGGCACAATAAGGTAACATATTCATCTTTATTGCTTTATTTTTAATTGTATTTACAAAGACTATCGAGTAATACAATTTGATTTTTGTATTATGGTTGCGAGTTATTTATTTATTTGTGCTACTCCTTTTACCTTTGTCCTCCTAGAGTCAGAAATAATCTGTCTTTTTAGTATTGTAAATGAGGATTGTCTGAGTTTTCTCAGTGCAAATTCATCTTTTGTTGAAAAAACAAGAAAACCATGTATCAGTCCTGCCTGCGTGTGGTTGATTATATTATACCGGAATGACTCTTATTAAATAATACTGAACGATCATAATAATCACTTCTTATAGCTGTTGGAAATGAATGTGGACATCATATTCACAGATTTTGAAATAATATAATAGAAAAAAGGAAAGTGATAATCAATTTTCTCTTGTTCTTCCTTAATCTAAATATGTAACGTATTTTTTATATTTTCTTTGAAATATATATTAATTCGTTTGGAATATATTTTTTACTGAAACCATCTTCATCCACTTTTTGTACTTGTTGACTTACGTGACACATAATCTTCAAAGCCGACTTAACAAAATGTTACATACAAAAATAAGTACATATTAATTATATTTTACAGTCAATAAATGTAAAAATTGTACCAGCGAACTCAGGCATTTGAGGACATCAGTTGCAATAACGTTTACTAATGCCATCCAAATTACTGCATTGTTCTATAAATAAAATAAAGTTATTTAGTTTGTATATTTTACTGTTATTAACGAATTTGAATTATTACGTTGACCGTTACATATAATATGATGTATTTCTTAAAAAAGAATTATTTTGCTCGATTTTTTGTGGTCTTTTGATTTTTGAAGCGGATCTATATAATCTTAGCGTTGTCAATTTCCTGTCAAGAAAAAAACAGATTAAGAATTAGTGCATCTCTTTCAGAAATAAATGCGAAGAAGGTTAATTTAATTAGTTGATAAACCACCGACACATTGTAACAATTGGATTATGGTTGTGACTATCCATGTTTTCATTCCGGCTTAACTACAAAGGAAAATAAATGAGACAGTTTTATATAAATATCTGTAATATTTTGTTTGTAACTTGAAGATTCACACATTGGTTGTTCTAAAGGTATTTATTGAATTATATTTTTAATATGATATAATACTGTCATTGTTAATGTCACAATATAGAACAAATGAATTGTTCCTTTTTTACTTATTTTTTTGTTGCTGTTAAATACTCGTATATACATAAAACAAAAAATAAATATATGTGTGAAGTGTCAGGTCATTTTTAGAATTAGAATTTGACTAAAATATTGAATTGTTTGTTCTCAATGGCTGTCTTTGTTTCAAAAAGTGTATTTTACAATTACAGTAAATATCTTCCTAACGTACAAAATGTTATAGTTCATTTTAAATTCAAACACTTGCAGGTACTGTTAATTTAAAAATCAATTCGAATCCTTGAACTCTTGCAAAAACGCGAAATCTAATTAAGGTTTTTGCAAATATTTAATTTAGGAAAGTTACTACTTAAATTATGAATACGAGCTTTTATTGTTACGAACCTGATACTGTCGCATTAATAAAAACATCGCAATATTTTTTAAATTTACAGTAATCACAATTTCGTTTGTGCAATCGAGACTAAAGTGTGATATTTTTGCGGTTTCTGTTTTTTTCCCTCATTTTGTTGGTCGTATTTTTGGTGAGGGTACTTTTAAAAAAAGAATGGATGTAATATTAACTTGACCTGTGTTTTTATAATTTGGTAATACATACATTAACCAGGCCACGACTCCACAAGTTGGTGTTCCAGAATTACAACAGTACATGTAATATATGTTTAAATCTGTTCGTCGTTATCACTTTTGTCTAGTAAGGAGAGGTCAGGTCAGTTCAATATTTTTTTGCCAATTACTACAGACATTTAATATAAGTATAAATTGAGACGTATGTACTTAAACAATAATATGGTTTCAATATACTTAATATCAACAGTTTTTTTTATCTAAAATTTTAACCATTAATTCCAAGCTTACCTGTTGTTAATTTTATCTCTTGAATATTTATGATATATTTTCCACTGGACGTTATGCAAACAACAATCAATATTACTTAAGTTGCTGTTAGTAATTATAGTCCATGCCTTGTATACTTTAAAATCAATTTTATAATAACGCTACATATATAGTACCTCTTCTAATTCTGACTGTGATGTTAATGTGTATGTCTATATTTGATTCATCTAATAGAGACATTCATTGAGAAATTCCTTAAAAATAAAATTCATTAACTATAGTAAAGGATGGTCATTGAATCGGCTCAAATATTGTACAATATTCAATTTATTTTTACAGATATATATATGTATAAGTTTTGACAGTGTTTATCCATTATAAGTGTTTGGACATTTTTACATATACACAACCATCAATTCTGACTGCTATAAATATGTATAAGTATTCATCTGTGTCCTGTAAAAATATAAAAGATAATATGAGTCAACAAGGTTTGAAATAGCCCAAGCTACATAAGTACCCTATTAACTTTTTTTTTATAATCAAACAGTTTTCAAAATGAAAAGAGGAATCCATCTGGCAAATTTCTACAAATTACGATAACAAAACTTATTTTTTAAGGTTTGCCATAGTTCGTAATAAAAAAAACACACAACTTATGACCATAAAGGGACACATCGTTTACGAATCATACGGTGAAGGCACTTTCTCAAAACCCTGCTATTTTAACAAAAATATCATTGTGAAATGGTTATTCATTATTTTATGAGGGCTGGGGAAATTGAAAATAAAAACAAAACTAATGATTTTTTTTATTCCATGGACATGGCAACTATATAATTCATGAGACAAAAACTCGTATCGTCTGGCATCTAACTCCCGCTTTATGTATCTCCGAAAGATATTCAATTTGAAAACTATTTGACGTTTTTTTTTCGTGTTATTTTAATTACTAGTCACATGTTTTAAAATAGAGTGCTATACAGCAAAGTGTTAGGATTTCATTTTTATTCATGCAAATTTTGAAAATAAAGTGATTATACTCGTGTGTTTGCTTGATATTGTTTGCTGTTCTAAGATAAGTATAGTTTCATCTTTGTGGAAACTATTGATATTATGTATCAACTCAATTATTTATGTTGAATTGTATGAAGTGAAATATGTGTGCCAAAGATTTTACAGCCGTGATAACCCCCCCCCCCCCCCCCCCCCCCCCCGATTGTTGTTAACCTGTAAATAAATACACGTATGTTACCGTTTCATTGCTCATCTTACGTTTTCTTGGATAACCTTCACCCGGTAAGCTCAAGACCAATCTGAAAATAAAATACTATACAACCTATTAATGCAATATTGGTTACTCTTTGTCTTTGAATTGCTGTATTATTGACGATTTGGATGTCGCATGGTTGTATGATTTGCGTTCACAACACTTATCTTTCTATTGAAATTGCCCGAAATGGATCTAGTTGCGTAATAATAATTTTCCCATGTGCTTATTTTCCTCATTGATGTAGAAATTACCAAAATGAGTGTATCGACTTTAAAAAAAATGAATTGAACAAATTGCTTATTTCTAACAAATAATAGTTTAAGGCCATATGACCTGATTAGTTTTTTCCAGTGACTTTTTTTTGAAGATTTTAGTCATTTCGTGTAAAAAAATATTTGTTTCTCGAACATTATAAAATGAAAATATCTTAATATATTTTCAATGATATTTATCCCCCTTCTACAGAATAAGACGCAAAGATAACCACAAACCCTGCCCTCCAAAATAAAGAATGCTAAAAAATTAAACTACAAACAAGATAAAAAAAAAAGCAAAAAAAAAAAAAACCCAACACCCTAAAAACTAAAGACCAAACAAACAGTTTAAATTGTTAGCTCTAGTTCGAAGTTTGATATTGAAATATTACAGAAACTCCATAATGTTTTAATGATATTTTGTTTCATAAAATGATCTCTGAAGCCTACAATACATTGACCTTACTGCACAGCTGATCTAGTTTATTTGGGAAACTCGAGGGGAAAATATTCTGACAGGAAATGATAAAAATTGAATTCCAGGGTATAAGAGTTCAAAGATCATCAGTAGGTATGGCAAAACGTGCAGACAAGACAATTTTTCCTTAACTAAAATATGTAAATTAAAATTCGAACAAGCAAACACCATTTCCAACGCTAACTGCAGTTTTTCAATGATTCACACACACACACCATAAAGATAACATGAACAGACACTGTAAAGCCAATGGTAAAATCACATATTGTTTTCTGTTTCCATTCAATCATAATATGTTCGCTTTATTATTACACCTAATAATTAATGATTATTCTATTAAATTGGAACACAAGCTGAATATGCTAAATATAAACACGACTCCAACACAATTATCTTATTTTAGATAAGTGATCTGATTTAGATTTTCCAATAATTTTTACATAACCTAAAATATCAATTAAAAGCATTATTTGATGTCTTTATACAATCACACGATGTAAAAACACTTCTTGAAACCTTTTGGAAACAAGAGGCAAATAAACGCAGTTTGCTTTTTATATGTTTACATTCATTCTAGGGAAGATATTTCCCTTCTGATACTGTGTTTACTACAATAGGAATTCGTTTGAATGATAATATCAAGTGAGTAGTCGCCCCTGTTTCAGACGATTTACATTGCATTCTATACAATTCAAATGAGATGTTACGTTTGAGTAACGGACGACAACATTATGTTTAATAAAAATTCTCTTATAGTAGCATTATTTTCAATGGGGAATCTGAACATAGTTTTGCGCCATAGACAGAATGCAGAATTTTCATGTTTTGAGAACATGAAGTTCATATCAGGCATTAACTTTGCAATTTTATATTTTTTATGAAAATAAGAAATAACTATGTTATAACTAATAACAATAAAGTATGTTATCCGTATATACTGCCGAAAGAAAGACTTACAACATTTCCATTGTGATTGGTGGAGGTC